TCAGGTGCTAAGAAATAAACCTTGGACTCAAACGTTAGAACAAGCTTTTCCCTCCAGCACGCCGTGTAAAAAATACTCACAAAGAAAACGGCGGCCGTTACAACTTATGTCTAAAAGACTCCAGGTACACGACGCGCAGCTGGAAACATTTCCCGCAAGTCGAGCTGCCCGAGATTCACAGAATTTACAGAAAATGTTACATTTTTGTGATTTATATCGTTATCGGGACGATAGAATTCTTATATCGGGATATGAGATTTTGCTTATATCGCACAGCCCTAATTTTTATCCTACAACTGTATGCGTTAAATACAACTTAACAGTGGACCGAATGAGAGGAACGTCTTTCCAAACGTAACTCTGTGTGTGATGTTTGAGATGATGTAAAGCAGCAATGCAGAGACTGCTGAAGTTACTGAAGGCGATAAGATCATTCAACAAACGTGGAACTTTTTCAACTGAATTTTGAAAATAATACTAGTAAATATTGTAATTTATGGCCATTGGCTCCTTCTTTAAAAAACATTTTAGTTTCATACACAATTTTTAGGTCCTATGAATTTAGATGAACTCCATCCCTGCTGTATTCTATTTATGCAGAGTATATTATATACTAAGGCCCACAATGTTAACCCAGAACCTTCTTTCTGTGAGGCAGCAATAATAATCACGGCACCAGGTTGGCGTACCGTATTGTACCAGACTGGTCTGCACCAACCCCATTGTGGTGCCCAGTGTGAGCCAGCATGAGTCACTGGTTTGGTGTGGCACACCGTGTCTGCTTCTGTCTTGTTGGCGTGGTATTCTTTTAAGAAGATGTTATTTTGGTTGGATGGTTTTTGGGATGGTAGCCTTGTGTAGTCTGAGGTTCTAAATCAAGACTGTGGATTCAAAACTGTAGTATCTGTACGAACGCCTGTGCTTTTGAGCAGTTTGAAATGTCAATATTGACACCTTGGAGGAGACGGTGGTTTGTTCTGGACACCGTCAGTTCTGTCTGTGGCCCTGTCAAATTATAGGGATGAATGTTGCTCAGCACTTTGGAGTTGTGGCCTGTCATGTTGACATGCTTCATTAAACTGCTGACAGCTCTAATGTGAGTCATATCCAGTGCTATTATGTCAGCATGTGCTTTTAAACATTACATCTGTTAAAGTGAAATTTGGCTTCTCTAAATAAACACAAAAAGAATTCATCTGATGATTACAGCGCCGTGCAATAGTCCAGAGTCACGCGTCACATATTTCTATTTTGGTAGGAAAATTAGAAATATGCGCAGCGATGTAGGGCTGCACGATTTTGCATAAAATGAGAATCACGA